TGGTTATAGAACTCATCTTCCTAAGAGAAATAATATCACAGTAGTTTTGCTTTTGACCAACATTGGGGGTTAAATTTTTTAATTTTTACCACTTACATGCTTGTTACACAGTATTTAATGGTAATATTTTTTTGCTGGTATTGTAAAATAGTAATTATTGGATCACGGAAATTATAAAAATCGGAAGTTACACCAAACGAAAATTTAACCAAGGTCGACACGGAAATATGAAACAAGTACAAATTACACAAATACGAACATAATAATCGAAATCATTATCCATTATCTTTTGTCATGTAATTATCTTCTACCTTGACCATCATCATGTATCATCATTAACTATGTCATAATAATATCAATCATTCGAACCATTTAATAAATAACAAACTGTCTTTAACCCAACCTAACTAATTTAATTATTTACTATCTTACCAGGGGGACGCCTTTGCTAAGTATAGTTGTACATATTTATATTTTTCTTTATTTTGATTTTATTTTGATTTACCGGATAGGCCAGTTGATCTGGGTGAAACTATTCCAAAGAGTATAGGTATAGAATAGACAGTGAGAGCTATTCTAAGTAAATCCTGTAAGAATTAACAAATAGGCCAGATAATTCTGGGTGAAACTATTTGAAGTATAGAATAGACAGTGTGAGCTATTCTAGTAAGTCTTGAAAGCTAGCTAGAAAGAAATTAATTATTGAAAGATTGCAATCGGATTTGAGACATTCCTGACTCAGACAGGTAGAAAATATCTACTGTTGAGAAATTCGTTATCGGGAGGCAATAAGTGCTGAAGTAAAGAAATTGAAATTATAGTGAAAAGTATTTTGATATAGAAATTAAAGTATTTGAATAGATAAACTGAGAGATTTGGAAACGATCCCACAGTATATACATATATATAAATTGCTATAATAAAGGTTGTAAGTTCCAGAAATTTTCAAAATTAAGATTTGAAAAAAAAATTTTTTTAAAAAAAATATTGAAAATTTTTTCTGATCCTTTTTTATATAGTTACAATTGTTGCCACTTAGATTTTATATAGA